AAAGCGTCCACTGGGTTTTCCACATGGTAACCAGATTTATTCCTGTCAAGGCTAAGAAGCAAGTTGCCACTTCTGTATTAAAAATCTTTCCACTACTGCCGGTAAAAGTCATATTGTCATCACTCCATTTACAAGTCACAAGTCGTTATGCCACATACATTTGACCAGCTGTTCTTAACCGGGGGAGGGGGGTGAGTCGCTCGCCCACTTAACCTTAAAACATCTTTCAATTGCAGCCTAGCAGATTCTTTACCTTCACTAAATTTAATGTAAATTGAGACACGTTACAACACCCATACACAATAACAGGTAATTAACAACATTCAATAAAGACCAGATCCCGAATACGAGAGCAGGTGCCCAGGTACTCTGGATCTGGTATCAATAATACGTGAACAAGGGTATCTTGGTACAAGGGTATCTTGGTACAGACCTGCAATCAACTTCGACAACTTCCACTAGTGAGAGCGGCTGGATTTGAGAGGGACCTGACCTCTCAGCATCTGAGTTCTTACCTCTCCTATTGGCCTACGTCTCACCTCTTGGCGCTATAAAAGCTCCATCCTGTCACTTCATCTCCATATTGTTTCACACTATGGAACAATGCTCTTCTCCAGACTGAGGGACTGACCACCTCAAAACTTTAAGGGTGATGGACTGATTACATCGTCTTCAAGTATCTTCTGCTTCTATCAACTTTTCTGTACTTGACTGAAGAAGCCTACTGTGTAGGCGAAACGTTTCATAATAAAGATACCTAAATGTTGCATATGTGTCTTACCTAACATACTCTGGATCTGGTATCAAGAATACGTGAGCAGGTGTCCAGGTACTCTGGATCTGGTATCAAGAATACGTGAGCAGGTGCCCAGGTACTCTGGACCGGGTATCAGGAATACGTGTGCAGGTGCCCAGGTGCTCTGGATCTGGTATCAGGAATACGTGAGCAGGTGCCCAGGTACTCTGGATCTGGTATCAGGAATACGTGTGCAGGTGCCCAGGTACTCTGGATCTTACTAAAATATAATTTCTCACTTTACATATTGTGGACTTGAGATCTGCTCCTTAAACAGACTCTTTTCAAAACTTACAAATAACAGAGTTAAAAATGAAGACTAGTTTCTCAGTTTTCTTATTTAAATACAGCACACTTTAAATTTTTAATTTTATAATTTTATATGAAGGAAGGACAGGTTGGAGACGAGAATCAACCATGATAGGGATGGGGGAGTTGACCCAAAATAGGTTAAGAACCACTGTATCAGACCATTTTCATAAACTGAAGAATGCAGGTTAGGTTAGGTAAGGTTCGTCAGGAAACAGGACAAATGTTTCCTGACGTGGGTCTTAGTCAGATGATGACCCGCCTTTGGAGCTTTTGGTCATCTGACCGAGGCCTTCCGCTGGCTTACCGGTCCACCCCTTTAAAAATTATGGTCATTTATAACCATTTTTTTTTTTTTTTGAAGAATGCAGCCAACATTATAGTTATTTCTTTACTGATCTATTGTGGAATATTGAATCTAATGATTCAAGATTAAATAAAAAGATATATACTGTTTGTAAATATATAAAGTTTTTGAAACAGATAAATAGGATGTGTACATTTAACAATATTTATCTTACTGTCTTAATGTTTAGCTGTTAACTATTTTAGAGCTTAGCTCCTAAGCTCTCTTTATACTGTCTAAGGATAAATAAATATGGAATGTAATATGCGGTAAAAGCTACCAGTTTAGGAGACCGAATTTAACTTAAAATAATTAGATATGGTGCAAGAAATACTTACGTATAGTACACACAAATTTCCAACACCCATCATCAATCTATACGCAACGAGAGACCAAAAATGCTTACTGTCACAACAAATGCAGTGACGTCCCGAGCAGCGAGAGTTATGGAGAGGCTTAGTGCACTTCCTGGAGTCCACACACATTCCAGGACATTGTGCAGAGGCGTTACACGTAGCTTCCTGCAGTGTGCAACATTTACAACCAGAAACACTGCAACCATTCTCTATCTCGCTCTCTTGACTGTGACAAGCTTCTCTGCACACACCATTACCGTCGTCGCAGAAAGGTTGTGCATTACACTCTGTTGAAGACCATATTCCTAGCTTTACATGCGTCGATAACAGTAAAAAGGAATCACTAGTATAAATTATCAGTATATTTAAAAAAAATTAGTTATTCTACCGAAAATTACTTTTTTTTTTTACTTGACGTACGGGGCAATGAACTGGCAGACACTATTACAAGGTCAGCAGTACATGACCTCCCAGTTTCACATGGAGGTGTTTCATCCACAGACTATTTTGCTGTAATTTCTAACCACCTTAACTGTTGGCAACAACGCTGGTCTGATAATACACATAACATATTACATTCTATCAAACCAAATACATACATAGGTTTCTGGCCGTCTTCTTGCCATCGATGCCAAAGTTGGGAGATTACACTCTCCCATCTTTGCATGGGGAACACACGTCTTACTCATGGGTATCTCATGGAAAGGCGCCCTGTTCCACTATGAGACACTTGTCAGGTTCCAGTTTTTGTTAGGCATATTCTTTTAGACTGTCCAGTCTATCCAACGTCATCACCGCTCTAACGCCTTTACTTTATCTTCCCTCCTTGCTGACGGACTCACCTTTGACTTAGACTCCCTCGTTGACTTTTTGACAGCAACTGCTGCCTCTAGTACTCCTCATAGCCCTTTCTAACTCTCCCTCTGTCGTCCACTCCACCCATGCTACTTTATAACCCTGCACTACCCCTGCCCCGCTGCGCTGTATCACCCTTGTAGGTTAAGCGCTTCTTTTTGATAATAATATTTTTTTTTTTACTTTCTGACCCCTTTTTCTATTGAGATCTCTTTCTGGCACCTTTAAAACAAATCATTATCAGTCTAGAAATCTCTAATCCGCGAGGAACTCTTCTCTGACACACTCGATGACTGTAAGTCTTCAAAATATCATTAACTCTCAAGATACCTCTGGCTCTCTTGAGATCATCTCCCTGATACATTCGAGAACTTTGTTACACTCTTGAGAACTCTCTGACGCCCTTGAGACCACTCTTGAAACCCTCGAGAATCTCTCACCTGACCCAGCTGGATAACTCTCTGACACCCTCTGTAACTTTCAAACGCTGAAAGAATTTCTGAAAGAAATTCCCCAGAATGTATTACTTTAATATGGTTTTCTAGCTGGTCTTTCCTCATCATGTCATCACTATTCCACATGCAAACATCTGGTTTTAAAACTTAAATTATATTCTACATTTAACTGATCTGCAAAAAAAGTTGACGTTATCATACACATTACTACACTTTCCCCGCAACATCCGAATCATGAAATTTAAATATCTGTGTGACCTAAATGAACGAAATTTTTAATTACGTTGACCTAAATGAACGAAATTTTTAAAAAGTCGAAATAACGTAACTGGATTGATAAGTTTGAGCAATGCAGAATATATTTTAGACCATAACAGAATTAACATTACCACGCACACTTTATTAGAGGATCCGCTGCTCTACTAACTAGACTCGAAGTCATTTACTCTAGCCCTACACTCTCACTTATCCTCTTATCTGCGTATGTAACTGATGTTATTGTTGTTCTTGTTGTTGTCCTTGCAGTAGCGATAATAATATAAGAAGTAGTAATAGTATTAATGATATTAGAAGCAGAGGTGTTTCCAGTGATGATGGTGTCGTGGTTTGAATTAGGATTCGAGCTAGAATACAGGAGATAATACGGCTGCCAATATTCTGTATAACAGTGTAGGAGGCAGATATAAGAGGTGCCTAAATGCATTTGCGTAGTTGTGTGTCTTGCTCTTAAACAACTACACGGGCATATTTCCACTTCATAACGTGTTAGTGTTGTTCTGATGCTGCGCACTGGTGTTAAGGTCTCGTTGCAATATTTCTTAGTTTCTTTTTTAACTTTAATTCATTGAGGCATATTACATAAAGTTCCCATTATATAATTGCTCCATATTCTCTCAGACAACTAAATGTAGCCACTGGTTTAGCCAGCGGACATTCAGTCCATTGAATTCAGTACGAGTAAATCATTGGTCGCTGCTACCGTGGTCCACCACAGAACCGATTGCTACCCCACACACTTCACGTGTTCTTAGACGCCCTCTCCCTAGTGTCAGCAAAACTGAACGGGCCTTTCTTTGGCAAAGACCCCTGTCAGGTTGATTAAACTAACATCAACATCTTGTTTGCTAACTGTTAGTCAATGGTCATCTAGCTAGCTCTGACTTTTGACTGGAATCCCCCCTTAAGGTTATTACATCTGTCATAAATGTGTTTTTACTGGCATGTTTCAACATTGCGGGAAGGGTTTGCACTGAATAATTTCACATCCCACTCAGGGAACAGTGCGAACACCGGCGTGGACTATTTTTGGGTTCAAAAATAGTCCACGTGGTGATGTCGTTGATGGCGACGCTCTGATATCACCTCTGGTGCGTGTTATGTAGATATAGTGGTCAGGCTGGTGCCCCCGTGGCCTGGCTGGCAAAGCTTTCGCTTCACACACGGAGGGCCAGGGTTCGTTTCCCGGCAGGGTAGAAATATTTCGACGCGTTTCCTTACACCTATTGTCCTGTTCACCTAGCAGCAAGTAGGTACCTGGGTGTTAGTCGACTAGTGCGGGTCACATCCTGGGGGACAAGATTGAGGACCCCAATGGAAATAAGACAGATAGTCCTCGATGACGCATTGCCATTCTTGTATTATCCTGGGTGGCTAACCCTGCGGGGTTAAAAATCCGAACGAAATCTTATCTTAACCTGACAGAATAGATGATAATTTTACGGGAACTGGTGTTGCAGCTTGGAGAATTCAAGTCGCAATTCTTGCAATTAGAAATGAAGGTAGAGAAATAGAGCTCTATTTTTGTTTGTGTATTAACTCCCATTCTTCATTACTTAACTCAGAGCTCCAGGTACGTAAGGAACTTAAAAAAAAAAAGTTTTTTTTCATTGCCTCGGTTTATTTTCATTTCCTGAAGGGAGGTAATATGAGTTTAGTAGATTTTCTGTAGAATTTAAACCTAAATGGATTTTATATTGTGTATGAGGACGTAGAGAGAACGGGACGGCGTCGTCAGTCAGTACATCCAGTTTCCAAATTCCGGTACTCATCCTAGGCCTTAAGAACTGACTTGTGCGAACCCAACTAGCAACTAGGACTTGTAAATAAGAATCTGAAACAAAGCAAAAGTCATTTTTAAAAAGGCTTGATACAGGATCCTAATTACAGTGAAGAACAAGAATGATAAAGAAGGGTCCTTTATCTGTATAACATTTCTTCCCACACTGGGATTTTTCAAGTATACTTTGCAACCTCCGTGTTTGGTGAAACACTGTGCGAATGAAGGACTCTTTTGCATTATTTTTCACCACCTGTCAGAGCATTGCCATTGTCTTTACCATTTTCACTGTCTTGAGTCGATGTGGTCAGTCCATCAATCAAGATTGATGGACTGACCTCATCGACTCAAGGCTGAGGGACTGATTACCTCATTCTCCTCCTGTTCTTCAAGATTCTCCTTTGTATGGACTGATGAAGCCAACTGTGTGGTGAAACATTTTCCTCAGTTTAAAAATACCCAAGATTGCAATGTGTCTAATTTATCAACGTGTCGGTTCTCTGAACCATTGATTCGAAACAGCCATAAACTAAATCGTCTTTGAGGGCTAGTTTACGTCTGTTCTATGGAATGTTCCACTTAGTTTAGCCAGTGTTCTTACCAAACATCGTTCTGGTCTCTTAGGTTCTATCAGCCACACATTTCTTAAACATACTGGCGATTTACTCAGTCGCATTAAAAACTTTCCTGACAGGAATAAGACAATCAGCAGCCTGGACGTCACAACCTTAGTCATAAAGTCTACCCTATGTAGGTCATTGACCTGATTCGTTACACATTCATGACTTCTCACTGCCATTTCCGCCTAACAACTTCATGGATTTCATTGATCTATGCATTAGGTATAACTGTTTCTTTTTCAATAATAGCCTCTAAAACAAAAATAACGGGACGAGTATGGGGTCCATCATCTGCACAGTACTAGTAAATCTTTATGTGGGAAATTTAGTAAACCGAACGCTTCAATAACATTGTTTCTAACTACATCACATAGATGCGTTACTTGGGCGATGTCTCTTATGGACACAACACTGCCCACCAACTACAAAGAAAATTCAAATAGATTGAGTCTTCAACTGAACTAACTCGAGAACAGGAAACCTACGACAGATTTCCGTTCCTTGACGTCCTCGTGCACAAGATTACTGTTTCACTCAAGTTAAAAGTCTATTGAAACCCTGCCAAAATTTTTACCCTGGTCAAGAAACCAAAATCAGTCGATGCATTGTAACAGTATGTTTTCCATGAGCTTTCAACATCTACAGACCAGAAGAAGAATGTGTCATTATTTATGAAACATTTTCGGAGCTCCATTTTCATGCCTCATTCACTCGAAATTGTAAAAAAATCACTTTTCGAATCTCAAACTCTCCGTGCAGCAAATTCATCGTTATTCCCAATTGCAACGTTTCAAGAAATATTTTTACAGCATTTACCTGAGCCACTGAGGCAACCGTACTAAAATCTCCATCTAAGATCTCACCAACGAGGCCTGGTCACAGACCGGGCCGCGGGGGCGTTGACCCCCGGAACTCTCTCCAGGTAAACACTAAAACCAAGCACCAAGATAAATACATGAATGAGAGGGGTTGGATCTGAGTGGGACTTGTACATGAGTAAATGCCTGTGCTTCAGAATCTCTACAACCTCGGTGCTCCAAACACCACCTCCAAGGCTGAGGGACTGATTACCTCATCTTTTGTATATAGTTCTTCTGTTTTCTAATTATGTCCTAGAATCTGTATTGATAAAGCCACTGGATGGCGAAGCGTCTACAATAAAGATATCCAGATGTTGCACAAGTGTCTTAACTTTCATCATGTCGGTATTGTTTACCTGTCTTGCACAGATTTATAAGAGGGTTATCATTAGGGTAGCACTGAAAGTGGGTTGGGCAAAATATTCTGTTAGTGGCACGCATTTGTAAAGGACCTGCCCAGTATGGGCCAACAGACCTACTGCAGTGTTCCTCCTCTCTTGTGTTCTTATATGTACAGGAATGTAGAAAAAGTTTTGGAGAAAACATCACACACCCACGAAACACGCATGCATGAGCAGTTTATTTCAAAAGATTTGTAGATGAATGGTTCAGAGAACCGACAATGTTGATAAATCAGACACATGTGCAAGAGTTGCACATGTGTCTAATTTATCAGCATTTCAAAAGATGAACAAAACCTAAACAACGCCAGTGTCCAGCTTCCGAACACCACTGACCACTTCATGAGATGGAAGGATACGCGTCTGGTTCTCCAGAACCAGACATAAAGAGGCGCGAGTACTTGGAGAAAGCAGTTACATCTCAAACACTGTTAAACAGAATAAAAACATCTTTATTCTCCGAGAATATAGAAGGAATCCTACTGTGAGCACAGGACAACACTATCAGTTGAAACGCCTTACCACTACTACTGCTATTACTACTACTACTACTACTACTTCTACTATTACTACTTCCACTATTACTACTTCTACTAAAACAACCACCACTTCTACTCCTACTGCTTCTTCTACTAATACCAATATTACTACAATTACTACTTCTACTACTGCTAACTACTACTATTACTACTATTACTACTACTATTACTACTACTACTTCTATACTACTACTTCTGCTATTACTATTATTACTACGACTGCTACTACTGCTAATAGTACTACTACTATTGCTACTACCCTCATCCTCCTTCTCTACATATACTAATGGTGTCCATGTTATGAATATATCGTCTTGCTAATGAGCCTGGTGAAGAAAAGTTGCCTTAATAAATGTCTCAATAAGGTTCATATTTGTCCATTCCCTACATTACCCAAATTATTATTATTATTAATCAAAAAGAAGAGCTAAACCACAAGAGTTATACAGCGCTGCAGGGCAGAAAGGAAGCGAGGGTATCAGGTGGCAAAAAGGAGAGGGATGATTAGTAGGTTATGGAGAACAGCGGGACAGTGGATAGTACAGGGGTAGAGGGTAGCAAGAGATTGAGGTAGAAAGGACTGAGGGGAGTGCAAAAGGTATCATCATCAGAGTTTGTGGAGTAAATCAGTTGTTGTCCAGAAGTCAATGAGAGAGTCAGGATTAAAGGAAGGTCCATCAGCAAGAAGGGAAGGTAGAGAGAAAGTAGTAGAGCAGAGACTACGTTGGACGTAAATTCTGCGTGCTCGTTGATCGAATGGGCAGTCTAACAGAATGTGGCTAACCGATACTGGAACCTGACAATTCTCACAGAGAGGAACAGGATGCCTCTCCATGAGATACCCGTGAGTAAGACGAGTGTGGCCAATGCGAAAGACGGGAGAGAGTAGTCTCCCAACCTCGGCACTGATGACAAGAAGACGGCCAGTAACCTATACTCGGTTTAATAGAATGAAGTTTGTTATTGAGCAGATCAGACCAACGTTGTTGCCAACTGGTGTGAAGGTGGGCAGCAATTATAGCAAAATAGTCTGTGAATGGAATACCTCTACATGAAACTGGAAGGTCATGTACTGCTAACCGTGCAGCAGTGTCTGCCTGTTCATTGCCCTGTACGTCAACATGACCAGGGACCCAACAAAAAACAATATCTTTATGCTTGGTAGATATACAGTGTAACCAAAGTTGGATACGGAGAACCAGGGGGTGAGGTGTATCAAATTTTCGTATAGCCTGCAAAGCACTAAGAGAGTCTGAAACAACCACAAATGGTGACACAGGCATAGATGCAATACGGATAAGTGTTGCAAGAATGGCATACAATTTAGCAGTAAATATGCTACCCCAGGATAGTAAATGCCCTCGCACGACACTGTCTGGAAACACTTCTGTGAATCCGACACCGTCAGAAGACTTAGAGCCATCTGTGTACACTGTGCGATGGCATGAGAATGAGAGCAGAAGTGGTCAAAAAAAAAGAGAGGGAAGCTACCGTAGGCAGTTGAACTTGCACGCAAGGGAGTGAGAAAGAACAGACATGAACAGCTGGAACTTCCCAGGGGGGCAGGGAAAAGTGAGATGCTACATGAACATAGAAAGGTGGTAACTGAAGGGAAGACAAGAACGAATGCAGGCGAAGAGAAAGGGGACGGAGCAAACAGGGGCGACGGACAAATAAAGAATGTCCACTAACATCAGTGACTATTTTATATATGGAAGGATTCCAGAGATCATGAGACCAAACATAATAGCGAAGGCAATGGGCATCACGGCGATCGGACAAGGATGGAATATTCGCTTCTGCATAGAGACTCTCAACAGGTGAAGAGCGAAAAGCTCCAAGGCATTAACGTAATCCCTGGTGATGGATGGGATTAAGGCTAGAGAGAGCAGCAGGAGAGGCTGCTGAATAGATCTGGTCACCATAATCGAGTTTCGATAAAATGGGGGCTGAATGTAGGTGAAGGAGAGCTCAACGATCAGCTCCCCATGAAAGATAAGCAAGGGTTTTAAGAAGGTTCAGCCGGCTGTGACAAGTTGCCTTTAGATAGGTAATGTGAGGTTTCCAGGATAACCTACGGTCAAAGAGAAGGTCTAGAAACCTGACTGCATCATGTTCAGGGATACGTGAGCCATAGAGGTACAATGGATGATCAGAGATGACAGAACGTCATCTCTGAGTTTTAGTACTGGAAAATTTAAACCCATGCGTGGTGGCCCAATTGGAAACACGGTTGACCGCATGCTGGAGAGAAACTGCAATGAGATGACAGTCAGCGCCTGCACAATTTATACCGAAGTCATCAACATAGAGTGATGACCAAATATTGGATGGAAGAAAAAGAGGCCAAATCATTTATAGCAAGGAGAAAAAGTGTTATGCTCAGAACACATCCCCGGGGAACACCTTCAGCTTGGACAAAGTCCAGGGAGAACATATTATTAACCCGAACACAGAAATGTCTGTCAGTTAAAAAGTTCTTAAGGAAGGATGGTAGATTGCCTTGGAGGCCTAAGGAGTGGGCTTGGGCCAAAATATTATACCTCCAAGTTGTGTCATATGCCTTCTCAAGGTCAAAAAATATGGCAATAACTGAGTGGTTATTTGCAAAGGCATTACGAACATATGTATACA